GCCACGCCCCCCGCGCTCCCCCAAACCACCATCTCGACTTCAATAAAGGGAAGGCAAAGCTTTTGCATACTCAACGTTTATTAAAAATAGTATGAAATGGTCCCTGGAAGAAGTTACACGCTAAGTAGAAGTCCCTTTTTTCTGTTTGGGGTCCCCCCCACACCCCAACTCCACTGATGGCGTGAGATGCGATTTAAACAGCGTTGCCCTTGCCATTTAAACAAATCTAGACGGTGTAAAGCACAGATTTAACTTCGTATTTACAATACTTTACAAGCTATATTAAATAAATACAGGCTCTGCTACAACTCGTCATCTCAAATATGTACAACATTATTTCTCAGTTGGATTTTACTAGATAGATGCGGGTCCTATATCACAGGGGATGTGCTGATTATAACAAGTAACCCTGTGGTATGAGCTAGTAAGTACCATGACCAACCAGCCCTCAAAATAACAGTTCCTAGGCAATGCAAGATAAGTGCGGTAAATAATTTAATCCGTTCTAACAAATTCAAGTCCTTAAATCTTAGTCTACAAGTAATTAGCTGTACACTGATAACTGAGGTTTTCCTCTTGGTAGCCAAAGGAGTAAATAGGTGGCTGTTCTGGAAGTACAGTGCTCTGTAGCTGAGGGGAGTGATACATGATTAGTAAAAATAGTACTTCAATTAAACTCCTCTATTTAGTGATATGTTTAACTCAGTACTGGCTTTATCCATGTAATCTAAAGAATTTAAGCACCAAAAAAGAACAAGATCACACAGGATGATCAGTGTAGACATATTTAGGCTTTCCTTTAGATACAGGGTTTTCAAGTAACAGAATCCAAAGCTGTGCAACAAAGATGACAAAGGGGAGTAAATGTGCATCGTATTGGAAAGCCTGTTCTTGTTGTAATGGGCAGCATTTATCCTATACATTATTTGCAAAAGAATGGAATGTATTCTCACTTTTTAAGCTACTTTTCTTATACATAAATTAGGTGCCATTCAGCCCTGGCTGGTTTAGAAAATACATCTCTCTCTACCAGGAAAGATCATTTTCTACTACAGAAGATACATTCCCGGGGAAGGCAGCATGCCACTCAACCAGCAGTATGGCTGAAACATCCTAGGGGCCAAACACGCCACAGGACTGATATCGCACCCAACCATCTGGCCAAGATCCATTCTCTCTCCGGATTATTGACTTTGGGACTTGAATGAATACATTGCACGCCACTGCACACAGCTACTTGGCAAATTCACACCCACTGCTGGGCTCTATGATAGTCAACATTTTGCCTGCATGTCACAGACACCACCATCACTGGAGGTACCAAACCCAGTCTAGCCACCTTCACAAGCAGCAGAGCTCCCCTTCTACTGCCCAAAACATCCTCCAGCCAAGGACTGCGTCATATCCACAGGTTCACATATTAAGCTGCCACTGCCTGTCCTCTGCTTACTATGCAGTGACAGAAAGTAGAAGAGGCTTCAGACACAGAGCTATCAGTCTGGCACCTCTCACAAGGACTATGACTAGATTTTGTTTAAAACATAAGAAGCCAGTTCCAAAGTAATGTAGCGTACACATTGGTCCCACACCCCTGGAATCTGTCTGTTGAAAAGTAACGTGCAAAAAGTATGTGCAATTGCACAAGTAGGATGTTGGTGTAATTACCAGAACGCTGCTCAGAAATCTGCACAGTCACAGGAGTAGCTGCTCAGCTAACTGCTCCTATATGTAACCACAGTAATCATGTGGGTATTTTGTATGCAGAACACCAGTCACCAACTGGAAAGCCCAAATACTAAGGTTTCCACATGATACCATGGTTTAAGAATCAAATGGCATCACACCTGGTTCGATGGTAAGAAGCAAAGGGCATCACACCTAACAAGGGAAGATATGCAAAGGCTAAAGAGGAGATGAGAAGTCCACCTGCACTATGGAGCGAGACCCCAGACACAGTGCACATGTGGCCTTTTCCACTTCCAGGACTCTAAACCATTACAAAAAGATAGATTTCACATCTATTTACAATATGACTGTGATACAATGTCTGATTGTGTAATATTACAGAAATACATGATGCCAGTACTGACTGTCCTAGCACATACTCTGTCACGATAAGGCAGTACAGCTACAAATTACTGCAAGCATCAAGCAAAGCTACTTGAACTAAGACACTGAAACTTTTCCCTTAAAGATTGGACAATATTCTGCTGATTGGGAGACGGTACTCTCCACAGGTAGTCATTCAGTTTATCTGAATCACTATATGCAGACAGATAGGGGGTAAGGGCGTGTTTGCTGCTGGTGGACTTTGCGGGAGTACAAGAGACAGTTTTGCCGCAGAGCGTTTCAGAAGGAGCAGTGTCTGCGTTACACAGTCTAGGATCCGATTTCCTTGTTTGGTTCTGAGAAGTCTCCAAGTCAGATCCCTCATCTTCAGACTTTATTTCAACATAGTCATCATCATCATCCCCTTCTCCTTCTTCAGTGTCTTTGAAATTAGAAAAATAGTTCTGAGTGGCCATCTGTGCTGTCAGAGCGGAGGCTCTGTTCACTCTCAGGACTTTTTGAGAATCCTGCAGAATCACATCTGAACAGTTTTCAGGGATCTGCTTTCTCATATCAGCCCCTGTACATCCTGAAGCAATACCCAGTGTTTGGTGGCTGTTGAATCGGAAGTTCCTATTCAAATTGAGCTTTTTCTTGTCCATTTCATTAGGGTATACGATCGATTCTCCAGACCTGTTGACCACAATTGAGGAAGATGACTGTGACCTGCTGTATGCCTGTGGTTTTACATTGCTTACTCTTCTCCCAAGAGAGTTGTAGATGTGATCTTGATGTAAATTTTCTTTGTTCGGTTGGCTTATAATGGCGCTCCACCTCTGCGCCGGGACATGCAAACGGTGAGAAATCTGAAGGGAAGGCACCGAGCCAGCTGATGGCAACTGCTTTGAATTGCTTTTAGTACCAGCTTCTGTATACAAGCTCTTAGACTTTGGGTCTTGGGATTCAGACCATGGAGAGAAGTCAGCCAGCTCGCCGTTACTGTATGTAGAATGCAAAAGCCAATCTTCTGCTCTTGAGCAGTCACTGCCAGCCTGGGAACGGGAAGGAGATGCAGCCATGGGCGTGGAAAGCCTCCCAGCTGATGGCTCCTGAGGAGTGGCCTTGGCTTCCTTTTGGATCTTAGGTGAACTTTCTCTAAAGACGATTTGGTCATAAAGTTGGGAGTATTCAGCTATTCTGGCACCTAGAAAGGAGAGAGAATTAACTTATCAGAGGCAAGTAATCCATTCGAATGAGTCACGTGAAAACTTGAAAAAATCCCCAAACCCTCGCTATTGGTCAAGAGAAAAGTTACAATTATGTCAATATCTTCAGCCTCAAAGTAACATGAAAGAAGAGGCTGGAAGAGCCATGCATTGCATTGCCTGTCAGTACACTGTGTTGAGAAAAAGCAGCATAAAATATCTTGCACAGTGAACAGCCAATGCAGGATGCAGTGTAGCACACGGTTCAAATAATACACTGCTTGTTTCATGTTAAAATGGAAAAGAACATTCTGAAAATGTCCTGGTAGATAAGATATTTCGGGACTTTTATAAACAGCACAAGAAGGCAAGAATGACATTCTAGTGCACAGAGTCCGCTGGCTCCACATCTCAATTTGCTTCAATTCACTATGGACAAAAATAGTTCCAAAGCTGTTGCATACCCATGACTTTGCACATTCATTAGAAAGAGTAAGATGACCAGCTCTTTCTTATCTGACCCTATTCTTTATGCTTATAAGTGTGATGTGGATAGTACCTGAACAAACCTACGTGACTTCTTAGGAGGTGAAAATACCTGAAAATGCACCTTTTTAGTCAAACTCTGAAGATCTTGGTATTAAAGGAAATAACTGCTTTTCTATAAAGAGGCCAATAGTGCTTCAGGCATAACGTCTATTTCCAGACTAAGCTGAACTGATCTTTCCTGACACCACTCCACTATTTACTCCCAATTTTATCAAGTAACAACAAGAATTTATTGTGATATAAAGGACTACTCTTGTTGAAGCAGTCACAGAAAACTCATCTCCATGGTAACACAGAAAATGCAATACCAATACTAATAAGGTAGAGAAAAGCAATAATCTTCCAGTTCAGTATACAAATTTAACTGAAATTTACTAAAGAAATATATCTGTACAGAAATATTTTTAACATACCAATAGCTGGACCCCCTTGTTTCTTCTCCTCCAGAATAGCAGCAAGATCTTTGTGTTTCAGTTTCTGTTGTCTGCTAGCCACCTGTTCCTGCTCTGGACTTTTAACTTTCAAAAGCTGGTTAGCCTTCTTAATTTTTTGACTGTACTGCCTTGCCATCATAAAAACTCTGTTCTTTGTTTTATCCGCAACAGCCAAGTCATTTTCCATGCCCTCTGCATACGCACTGGACAGAACACTATTGGCAGATTCATACGGGCTATCTACAAAAGGCAGCTCACTGGAGAAGGAAGGTCTGTTCAGACTCATAAAAGAGTTCTTGCGTGGTGTAGTGTCTTCAAGCCTCAGACTAGCCTCGCTTAAGGTGGCAGCCCTGGGCTTCACTGTTTTAGGGAAAATAGGAGTTTCTGGCAGAGAGAGAGTAGACAGCGAGTAATCTACGTCTTTACTCAGTTCAGGTGTACTACCAGCATGCAGCCTCTCCTGCATGTCATCTTTACAAACAGGAAAGGCCGCAAGGAGACGGTCTCTTGTCTTTTCCTCATTTTTCTTGATGTAGTTCTCCAGGTCATTCCAAATCTCATCTACTTCCTCAGAGAGTTTATCTGCTGCAGACTTATGGGAGAGTGAATCCGAGTTGGAGGAGCTATCTACTAAGCTCAAATAGTCATTGTCGACAGGAACACGATGGTAAGGACTTTCATCTTCACTGAACTGGAGACTCTCTTCAGAAACAAACTGCCGTAGATTGTCACAACAGGCAAAGTCTTTTTCCAGGCCCAGAAAACTCTGCCTTTTAGAGCATTTTAAGGGGTCACATTTAAAATTCAATAGTGGTGTTTCTGGAAGCACTATGGTGTCATAGATGTTGTCCTCAACAATCCTGAGCTCATCCAAACTTGAAGCAGGTGCTTCTCTACTCAATAGTATCTCATCCCTACTCGCACGAATGGAGGCCCTGCTTTGATTTGCTGCCCTCTTTTTGGAGGGTGAATCTAAGCTGCTTTTGCTTTCAGCCTCATAGAGAGAGTCCCTAGCAGATCTCTGGGGACCACAGTCTGTCTCCTCCCTTCTTGTCAGACCCATCAGCTTTAAGTCTTCGTAGCTTATATTATCATAAACATGTTCAATATCATCAATGGTCAGTTCCTCTGAAGATTCAGGATATGCATTCATACTGCTCACCTCTGCTCTCTTCATTTCCCTTCGAGAACCATGCTCCCCGATTTTATACCTTGCACTGGCTGGACACATGTTACTTTCACCAGCACTACTGGCCCGCCTAACAATTTTGTGACGAGTGGGGCTGGAAGTCTCATTTTGATGCCCTACCCCCAAGTGCCAGCTGCATGGCCGCCCAGAAGAACCGCTCCTTTCCCCACCCACAGCTGAACTAGCATTGGATGTAGATGCTGATGGTACAAACATCTGATAATCGTCTTCATCGTCTTCATTCTCATAAGGTGGTTGCCGGCTGGGAAACAGTGCCTGTCTGATCTGATGGTCAGTCCAGATGTTTCTGACAGAGGTGCTTCCCCCCAGGATATTCATGATTAGCGAGTTGCTCTGGGGTGTGCTGAACTGTCTAGGCAACTGCGGTTGTCTAGCTGCGCGGGAAAACGGAAGATCAGTATTCAACTGGGTTGACTCCTCATCTGAAGGGTCCTTGGAGCTCTGTGGAGATTTGAAATACACAGGTAATGTTAGCCTATGCCCTGCAATAATACAGCGATTCCCTCCATTCAAAGAACTGCCATAGCACCAGGGTGTCCGGCAGCCCAGAGTCAGGGGGAGATGGGCAGGGAGAGCAGGCTCTTTGCTAGAGAGCCAGGGTGGCAATGCCAGGCTACCTTGCCTCCTAATCCTTACCATGGCTCAGAGTTCACTCTTGGCATTTAATAACATCTTACTTCAAACACAAGACGCTGGCTCATGCTAACGCATGAGTAATTTAAGGCAAATTTGTTTGGCAGGGGTTACATTAAACCTTTTATGCCAACTCTGCAGTTTCACAATTGCATTAAGCTAATCTGACTCTGGGCTCACGCCAAAAGTTTTGTTCTCCTCCCTTTCCCCTTGCCTATAACCCTAGCAGAAAGGTATGTTATGCTCTCTAGAATGTGGGACTGAAAATTTCACTGTCTTTTTGGAGTAAATTTTCATCCAGCTCAGCTAGCAGATCTAATTTACAGCAAGGCCACGTGCCTGCTAATGCTAACATGAAGGATGCTGTAGATATTCTTGGCCAGAGGTTGGGAAAGAGAGGGAAATATAATTCCTTTTGGCTTAAGTTGGTGCTGATTGGTTTGGTTGGTTGTTTTTTTCCCCTGCCCGAAAAGGAATAATCTATCATCACACAGATGAGTGTTTCAATTATATGAACATTAATACATTACATAAACAGAAGATGACTTATCTGTCTATCCAGGAAAAACACTGATTTCTTGGACATATCTATGATGCATAGCAAAACAGAAGTAAAAAAAAAAAATTATATACCTGTGTTTCACACTTGTTGACATTAACACTTCTCCGTTTTTCAACATTTTCAGCAGCTTGACTATTTAGTCTTTTTCTTCCCCCTTTTGATTTCTGCAGTGAGTTTTGCTGCACTCCCTGTAATTTAGAAGGAAAGAACAAGGGAGGGGTAATAAAATCTACAGTTCTTTGTAGAGCCTTCTTCAGAAGAATTACTAGCAGCTAGAACAGGCCAGGTATCTACACCAGGAGGACAGATGCCACAGGAATGATTCAGAGCCTAGAAAACTTTATTTGCAATAACCAACTAAAAGAAATCAATCCATACAGCTTGTCAAATGGGGTTGAAAGCAAAATCTGGGTATAAAAGTATAGATATACATAGAAATTGGACCAGGCAAAGGGCTTAATCTTGCAGCCAAAGTTATATCAGAAGAAGGTGGTCACACAAAAATTCAATTTGCAAAGTCTTGTCACTTGCAGTCTTGAAAACCAAAAAGAGGCCTAAGCTAAAAAATATGCTGTCATCCAAATTCCCAGGAAAAAAAAAAAAAAAATAAAAAAAAGAAACCAACAAACAGAACGATAGAATGTTACATGCTGGCAGTGTCCAAATTAACTCAGAGTGAAGGACACACATGGTGGGAACCAGGAGAATCTGAGAAGGTATTGTTGCCGCACCTGGGATTAAACACTAAGCTACTATTATACAGTTGTATGGTGGTGTTCTTTTGCACTTATTCATTCTTTTGTTCTTACTCATGTCAGGAAGAGGGAGAATTACAAGACACTGCACCACACTGGCACGAGATACTATTTTATCAGAGACTTACAATGCAAATAGTGTCATTTCAAAGAAGAAATGCATAGTAAGCATCAAAAATAATTTCAATAATAGGTTTTGGATAATTCACAGAATAAATAGATCACACAAGGATACAACCTCAGCATCAACTAAATGAAACAAACAGAAAATCTAGATTCTTTAATACAGCCACATTTCAAAGCTGGAGTTTTAGTCTTTCAGAAGTACAACGTATGTGTGGAAACATCATCCAGAGTGGGAAAAACCCGTGCAGTAGTAACAGATAAAGATTCTAACTTTCAGAAATCCTGCTCATGACTTCTCATATTAAAGTTCACATGTTCCTAGCTACTGCCAGCAGCTCACAGGTCGAGAAACAACACATCACATGTGGCAATGCCTGAATGTTAACTTAATATTCAAGTCCTTGCTTCAGAGACCCGAAGGCACTGTCTCTGCATGTGGCCTAAAAAGGTTTTTTTCATGGCATCAGCTGGAGAAGCAAGGAAAGGTCAGTTGTGCTCAACAACTAAAAACAAACAGCTTTCTGTCAGAACCAGGCTTCAGGACTGCAAAGGAGTCAAGAAAATAAAACCTCTTTTAAGAAGAGGGGATTTTTTCCTCTGTATAGGGGCTAATTTTACATCTTCTCTGTTAAATTGCAAGAGAGTATTGTGTGAGGTCTAAATAAAAATATTTCTAATGAGAGAAAGTTGCAAACACTTGTAACACATTCCTGCCACCTTGCTGGTTTACAGGTAATTTTAATCCCTCTTTCATCCTCCCCAGGAAAAAAAAAGGGTTTTTCTTTTTCCCTCACATCTTTTTCCTACCTGTTCAGACTCTTCTTCATCATCAGCATCAATCTGCTCTGTAGCAGAAGCCTGAAGATTTTCGTCCTGGTCGCTGCTGTAGGCTGGCTCAATTGACTGTTGAAATTGGCTCTCCAGCCCGCTGGGTTCCAATGGAACCTTCTTCCTAGAATTCATCAGGGCTTCATTTGATCCTAGTTTGGTGGCTTGAGATAATAGAGATCCTTCAATACTGATTCGCTTAAAAAAAATGCAAAATTTTGATTAGAAGTTTACAAGGTTTATATATTTCAGTAAGACACTGTTTTACATCAGACTTACAGGCAACATTTAAGCTATGTTCAGTTAGCTACACTGAAATGAGATTTATAAAGTAGTAAATTAAACAATCACTATTTTTCCATAGAATATTCAGAACTGTAAAAATCATGGGCTTCAGTGTTACAGCATCGCAGTGAAGTCATCTATAATGTACTCTGTTTGTAAATTTTCCACACATCCCCAACTTT